CCAAGTCAGAAGCAACAAGCAAGAAAGAAGATGTTCTCACCTTGTCTATTTCCTCTTCAGGAAATCCAAGAAAAAGGAACAAGGAAAGACCCCCAGCTACGGCTCCGCGTGACGTAAAGCCCCATCGCCCCCACCGAGGCATTCGCTGCAGCGCGTCGCCGGCATTGACCGCCGCGCGGGCCGACAGAAGCACGGCCGCGGCGGGCGCGTGGCCGCCAAACCTTTGTCACTTCCAGCACCACCAACTTCCATGACTGGCTGGTGCCATAGGCAGATGAGAAATGGAATGACTCCAAGAAAATCCATCCAACTTGTGGTTTCCTGAAGGGAATTTTCAGGTTCATTCCCACGTCCCCTGAGCACCAGCAAGGTGACGCATAGAAGATTACAACTTGGGTGCTGTAGATCCCCCAGCAAAACAAATAACTTTTTGCTGGTTAAAAGGACATATGAAGGGAATCTCAAAAGTTAAAGCCTGAAGATCCAACCCAATCGGTAGAGGCACATAAGATTACAATGACCAGGAAAAGCAAAACCAACACACACACACACACGCATACTCCAGAAAAGAAAATATGAAAAAACAACACCTGCAGGGAGCTGCTGAGCTGCTGCCCCACTGGTGCAACTGGGGATGCCAGTTAAGGTGAACATGTTGTAACAGGGCCCCCTGTGAACGGTACGCCTAAACATCACCCGGTATGCAGAAACCCTTGGAACAGCCGGTAAAGGCGGTTTCTTCATAATCAGGCTTCGTGGTTTGGATTTGTGGTTGGAAGGTTGGGGGGGTTCCTTGAACGGTTCAACAAACCAATCAGGAGTGCACCCTGTTCACCTGGATTCAAAGCGAAAGAACCACCACCATTTGTGCTCTTCCTATTTTGTCACATGGGTGAGGGAAACCCCTACATGGGAGGAACTAAAAGCACAATCGCATTGTTGGGGAAGGCCTCAATCTCAAAACAACGCAGCACTATTTCGCTGAATTGAACTAAGAGATTCGTGAGAGACCTTCATGCCTTGCTATTGAGGGTTCCGACCCCCTGGACTCTGTTGACCCCGTGGTGTTACCCTCCAAAATGACGAGCCCCAATTACAAGGCAACATCCCCCCGTTTGATCAACTAGGGGTTCACTTCTCCGGGTGCCCAGAGGGGCCATCAACTCCCACCATTTTCGACCAACAACCACCGTCCCACCCTGAGCATTTCAGCGACCGACGCTTTACCGCAATATGCCACCGACGCTTTTATCATGTGCCAAAAGGGTCCGGCGAAAGCCGCGCACGATCACATTCACGCCCATTTGGCTCAGACCCCTGGACCCCCCCCAAAAAAAATCCAGTAGTGATAAACTCCTTTTGAAACCAACAAGGGACAATAAGACATATTCTTAAGCAAGCAAAGGGAAGTTAAACAACGCCGAGAACGCAACCAACAAAAAGCGGCAAAGAAACGCTGCTTGGTGCAATGCCGTAGTGCCGGAAGCTTCGTGAACTGTGTCTGGGTGGCACCTGGCACGGTGCGTGTGACGTTACATCCGAATGGCCCTTCTGGGACCCTTTGTTGAAAGGCATACCTAGCCTTGTTTTCTGGACCCAGCCCACAAGCCAAGAAAAGCACACAATTTCTGGGTGTCCATTTTCGTGACGATGTCTGTTTTCAAAACCTGTTCCAAAACAAGCCAAACATAACGCTAATTACCCTAATCCTTGAGACATCCCCCAAACAATGGCAACCGCTTGAGACAAAAGGTCCGAACTTGAATTTTAAAGGTCGGGGTGAGACACCCTTCAAAATGCCATCATTTGGCAACATGTGTTGTTTTTCCCCTGTGCGTGTTGTTTGAGGGGGTGGTGCGCGTAGGCTAGAGAGTTAGGTTGTGTGAGTGCAGGATCTTAAGGTTTCACAGCCTACGCGAAGCAGAGCCCCCCGTCAGACCTCAGTTGATGGGGGGGAGGGGGAAGGACACCTGAAAGATCGTGGATGTCGCCCTTAGGCCATAGAAAAACGTTTAAGTCTCACCTCAGCTTCTGTTTTACTGGTGGCTTGGATTGGTGAGGTGGTAGGCGGTTTGCCAGATAGCCTCTACAAAAGCCAGGCGTTCAATCCCTCACCACGGCCAGGAAGATATTGAAAATACTAGCTTGAGAGCTTGGCATCTGGCCACAAAGCAGGGAATTTGTTCAAACCCAACCAGGTGGTGGCTCCAGACAGCAATGCTGACCCAACACGCCCCAGGTTCAAAGTGTGCCGCAGATCTCATGCCTTGGCTTCAGCCGTGGCAAACATGGCGCGTTTTTGGTGTTCTTGGGGTTCTGAGAGCCACTTCTAGATGGACCCAATGTTTCTGAGGTGCAAGGTCCAATCACTACCTGATGGCAACGTAGTCTTGCAATTTGAGCTCTTAACGGAACATGGGCTTCGGTTGCCATATAGGGCCCCGCCCCGCATACCCCTCCAACCCTTGGGTGCTGTAGATCCCCCACCAAAACGTGTAACTTAATTGCTCAAAGGAAATATGAAGAGAATCCAAAAAGTTAAAATCTAAAGATCCAACCCCCGCACAGTTGAAACCCCGTACCCCCACTGAACAGCCCAATCCCCACTAAACTAGGTTCTAAAATGGGCGGTGCACCTACCCCAAAATGGGATCCCATTGCAATTTCTACTATGGCCATACTCCAGTTTCACTTGATGTAGCTGCTTGAGAAACCCCCCCCGCCCCCAAACCCGCCTGGCGTGCAGCAAGGCCTTCAAGGCCAGGTGCTGCCCGTGGGTGGCCGCCAAATGCAGCGCCACGCAGCCCGCGTCGTCCTCCTCCGCCACGGTTTCCGCCTCGCGTGGGGAAGTGGACGCATGTCCACGCTGGAGGTCCAACACGAGAAAAAACGCAACCCAGGGAAAATGGAAGGGACAAATTGGTGGTTTGGATTGGTGGTTTGGATTTGAACCGCTGGTTCTTGTAGAGGGTAAATTGGAAAATCCTATTCAAACCACCAATTAGTCTAGGACTTGATTCCTTTTCCAGTCTTTTCAGCCATCGTTCTTTTCAAAAGCCGGATCCGTTTCTCCTGAAGTTCTGGGTTGGTTTCCCGAACAGAAGGATCCCTGGAAAGCATGGGGAAGGTACCCCTGGATACATACATTTCATGAACACTACACACTAAAATTCCAAAAACAAATGACACACAGTTGAAATCTAAACTGTACATACATATGGATATATGTACTAGTTGCACATGTGCCGCTGTTTCTGACGTGACTTGTCAGAAACCCGCCAGGCAGACTGCGCTTTTGGACAACAAGTTGAAGCGATCCGATTCCGCTCCGAAGTTGAGGCGTGTACCAAGCCTCCAATTCATGCAAAGTCCAGAGCTGACACGCCTGCTTTCCTTCAAATCGCCCGGGCTGATCCAAACACATAGTTTTGCCTCCATTCGCTTAAGAATATTTTAAACTTTCCCTTGTTGGTTGTAAAAGGAATTCATCACTACTGGAAATATTTGCATTTTTCTTCCTAGGGCCAGAACCAAATGGAAGTTTGGGAAGACTAAGTAACACTTTCCTGATTCCGGAAGGCGGCCCTGGCAAGGCCCTTTCTTCTCTTGCCCTTCTGAGTCCAGAACTACGAATCCACGAGTTGATTCATAGCGCGCCCCAGAACTAGGCAAGGCAACCTGTTGGCAGCTTTCCACAAGGAGTGTTGCTTTTGCAAGGATCAACATCCCCTGAATCCCCTGGTTCCCCGTCGCCAGGCCAAGGCTGTAGCCATCAGGGTTGTGGGAAATGCAACCACGCCCTTCCAAATCTTTGATAATCTCTCAAATATAAAGAGGGGGTACCCTGGCATCGCAGAAGTGGGAACAAACGCCGAATACAACCCGGACATCCGCCGCTCCACTTGGATGACCCCTGGTTAATACACCTAGGCATAGTGAAGGAAAATCGCCGCACACAAAATGGCAAAACTCACCTGTTTACTGGTGGGTTCCACTAAACCATCAAGCGTGCCACTTGTGCAGGTCCAGAAAAGGAAATCGAGGGACCCGTGGCTTTCGTACCTCGGACGAAACCTGCAATGCTTGGGATAGATGAAACCCCATATAAGCAATAGCTTAACCCACCCAACTGGTGAAGTGGATGTTTCGCCCCATGAGCAACCCCCCACCTCCCCCCCCCCCCCGCCTCGCCGTGTTGCAGGAGCCACCGGACGGCCGCCACATGGCCGCAGCTCGCCGCTTCGTGCAAGGCGGTGGTGCCCCGGCACCCCGACGCCGGCAGCCACCAGTGCCTGAGCTACCGAGCGGAGCACGGCTTCCGGTGGCGCGGCTTCTTCGGCCCGGAAAAAAGAAGGGGCGAAATCGATGGCCTTTTTCAAGAACCAGAAGGGGAAATTATGTTGACATAATGATATTCATTTCAGCAAATGCAAGAGGATCAAGTGGAGCATGGGCCATCAGCAGCTGTTTGGGACGATCGGGTGGATTGAATCCAGATGTCCCCCTAAGAAAAATGGAATTCCTTTGATAAGGATTCCCAACAGGAGCCGAGGATGTGGGATTCTTAGGGCCTATGTTAATTTACAAGGGAAGGATTCAGAGCTTCTTCGGCGGAGTCGCGGGGACATGCCCAAAACGGACATGGCCCTGGCGTTTCACCAATGGTCACTCGCCGTTTGTCAAGGCTTACCTTCGGGGCTTTGGGAATGAACCGTTTGGTGAAACAAGCGATGCTTCGGTTCCGGGTCATCCCCTCATCTTGGGCAAAGATTCGTTCCTTGACCAGACGGATGGTTCAGTGCCATCCTCCAAATCCCTGTCTCATCCGCATGCTTCAGTCTGATAGACTGATTCCCCTTCAAAATCAACAGGGGGAGGAAAACATATCGATTTCAGCACATGGAAGTTCTCCGTGATGGGGTGCCGCGTGATCAACATGACTTCCTCACGTCCGAACACGTCGCCCGCCTATGCAGCAGCATCATCTCCTCGAGCCCGCTGCTCGCTAAGAAGTCCAGAATGGGCACCTCAGGGTTAACCAACTCACCCCCTTGCTTCAACTGGTTTCAACCAAGCCGTGTAAATGACCTCCCTTCAGCCAAGATGTTCACCAGGCTGTTTTAGCTACCAAACGGTCGGATGAAACAACCCTGTTTGGGCGGCCCTTTTTGCTGGCGTAGGTCAACTATCCAAGGGTGCACTCATTCCTTAAACGAGTTGCCCTGTTTTAGTTGCCCATGTTGGCACCTGGGTGCTCAACCAACTTAGTAAGTAGGTGTCAACCGTGGTCTTACCTTCCCACCAATCAACGTGGAACCGGACCGGGGGTCCCTTTAACAGGAACCGGTCTTCCATGACCCTCCCAAACGTCAGGCTCGATGTCAAAAGGGTGGGAGGGAAATTGCTGGGGTAACCGGGCTTGGTCGCCTTGCAGCCATGGTTGCAACTTGCTTACTAAGTAGCTTCAACACCCAAGTAGAGGTACCTTCCCATTCTTTCCGATCATTCAGTGGCCAGCAATCCTGGCTGTAACCCACTTAGGAGACTTATAACATTCCCCACTTACTACGTGCCCGATCGCCCCGTTAAGCTACAAAACCCAATGGCCATCAACATGGGACCTGACGTTCGGGACCAGGTCCCTTTAAAAGGAAGATGGTCTTCCGGGTCCCATTAATGTGTCGGAGGGTAATTACTTTGTCATTTGGGGTTAGTCCCCTTTCAGCCATGGTTGCAACTTACTTCCAAAGTAGCTTGAACACCCAAGTAGAGATACCTTCCCGAATCATTCTCTCCAGGGATCCAAGTCTTTGAACCAGGCACCCCCCCCCCCAAAAAAAAAAAAAAAACATGATAAAAATAATAATGCGAATAACAATAAATAATAGTAATAACAATAGCAATAACAAATAGACAAATCAACAAACAACTGAAAACATAATAATCAACCACAGCCACGGTTTGAACACCTCCTTACCCGTTTGAACCGCCGCGATTCCCCCCGCACCTGGCCGCTCCTTGCCGCCGCGATGGCCACTGCGGGCGCCTGCTCCGGGCCCACGGGCTCCATCCTCCCGGTGGCTCGCGCTGGCGGAACTCGGGAGCCGAACCTAACCGCCATGAAGAAAACAAAACGTCGGTCAATATCTCACCTTCTCGCTTGCTGGATGGCCCAAAACAAGGTAACCAAACTTTATATTTACCACTAAAATGGTCGTCCCAAAAAGTTTAAAGTTCATGAACTCAGGAAGTGAGCCTTTTGGGTTTAAGGAAAAAAGTCATCCAAGTTGAATCCTTGCAATTTATTTTGTTTCGGAGTGCGCCTTTTGGGTTGACCTAAGGAAGGCGTCACCTCAATTGGGTCCTTGCCATTCTGGGAAAACTTGGAGTGAAGCTCATGAGACAACTTGGGAACGAGTTGCCACATGTATCAGCCACCTGGTTCCCAACAACTGCCAAATTCCCATGTCTCAAATCCCAAGAACTGTCCAAAAGTGACTCAGCTTGGGACACTGAAACGAGCTTCGAAACTTACTTGAGCTTGCAGAACTCAATATTTTGCATATATTCGAGCCTTTGCCGCTGGACAACTGTGGGGAAGCTGATCTTGACAAGAAGTGCCATGTCTTGAAGCCATTTTTGGGATTGGTTCAACCCCTGAGTGGATGTGGGATGTGGTAAACACCGGAGGGCCCCTTGTTTTTCATAGTGTCTTCAATGCAACATGGAACCCCATCAAAACGATCTGTTCCCCCACGTGAGTATGAGACGAGTGGCAGTGAGCCTCCCCCCCAAAAAAAAGTCCCCTGAAGGACCACAAACAGCTGGAAAGTGGTAGCGAACCTCGCATACCGTGATGAGTTTGACGCGGCAAGCAACACCTCACTTTCGAACGAGTGGATTGGCAAAAGCAAGTCAAAACTTTTGAACGCCACGGTCTTCCCAGAACATAGGCAGTCCAGGAACTCAGGAAGAGTCCTGTTGGCCCTCAGCCAAATCACCTGCTACTGGGCGATGGAAATGGTCCACTTCTGTGGCGGTGGAAATGCCACGACGATTGCATACCCTTAAACGGTTTGGTTGATTCCCTGAGCGTTGCAGAACACCTCAACACGTTATCCCTACTAGGATGCACCTGCCAGACCTGCTAAGAGCGCACAAGCAGAAGGCAAAATCAAACCCGGGGTATTCTTATCCAGCTCGCTGGTGAAATGAAAAACTGGCTACGTAGGGGGGGAAATTAAGGAATGATCAAACACACTTTCGTTTCCCTTTGGGTAAAGAAAGAACATGCGATTTATCCCCTGCAAAGATATGCTGTATGGCCTTCAAAGTACGAACCAAACCATCCATTGTAGCCGTTCCCCGTGCGCAAACAAACCTGAACCCGCCAGATTCAGATGATTATGGCAGGCGTATTTCCTGATTTCCGCTTCATACTGGGGCCTTCTGGTGGCGTCTCTGTTAGAAGGAGGGTGTCTTTTAGCAAACCCCCCCAGAAGATGGAAAACGGATTCTCTTCTTGCTTCCTCCTGTCGAAGGCGATAGTGGGTGTTCCCCTTCCCAGTTTGAAGGGAATCCCCTGCAATCGGCCAGCCAAGGGCAACCACTTTGTATGTTAGATTTTGTCTGTTGCATCCCTCAACCTAAAACGCACCAGAAGCAAACAAGAAAAACAACAACCAGAGATGACAACAACGAACTAAAACAACAGACTGGAAAACAGCATAAATACAAAACACAACAAACACATCTACTCAGACTAACTGGAAAACAACAAAAAAACAAAACATGACAAAAACAACACTTCATCAACCCAAAACGGACCGTGCTCAGCCCATGCCATCGGGTGCTGAGCTGCGCATGGAGCTGCTTCAGCATCTCCAGGTTCCCGCTGCGCGCGCAAAGCTCCAAGGCCCACAGGCGCTCCTCCCCCTGAGCCGCGAACCCCAGCCGAAGCTTCTGTGGACGAAATCCGTTTGAAACCATGTGAAACCGCATCCATTGGGCAAATTGAGCTTTAACAGCCAAGGAATTCTCCCGAATCCAGCATAGCTAAAGGGGGTTGTCCCAAGTCTGGTTCTTGAATCGCTCCGTTCTGTAGCTTGGAATGGGACTACCTTGGCCACTCAGAGCGAACAAGCTCTGAGAAATTTGTTTCCCACATGGCCCCAACCGTCTTGCACGATTGATTTGAACCAAGATCACTGGCATTATACTTGCAGGACTTGCACTAAGAATTCCAGAACACAAGCTGCCAACTTCAGGCAGAACAGCTGCCAACTCAAAAACGCGAAGCGAGCATCTCATTGTTTGTCAAAAAAAGGTGTACAACTCGTAAAGTCCATTTGCGTCACTGACTCCAATATATACATATATATATATACACATATATATGTATGTATATATATATATATATGTGTGTGTGTGTGTGCGTGCGTGACGTGCCACCCACTCAGGTACCCTGGAAGGACAACACAAGTGGCAGGAGCCTTCTTATGGTGCTCTATCAGGCCCACTTCCCCCAACAACCATGACACAATTCCCTCAATTAATTATCTCTTTGAACCTCCAACAATGGCTGTTTCAGTGGAACCCACCAGTAAGATGCAACTCTTGAAGGGGACATTCCAGCAACTGCTCCAATAAACGAGGAGTAATCACAACCAACTGCCCATCCAATGGATGCCCCCGCTGTGGGCTCTAACAAATGGGGTCCCAACCGAATGTTTGTGTGTGTTGTGTGTTTGTGCCTGTGTTCTTCGATGGTGCTCCTTTCTGGTTGCTTCAAAGCGAAACGAATCGCAGAACCGCTCTTTTTGGGTGTGGCATTTACTTGGATCTTAGGACAGCAGAGAATGACATGTTCTGTCACTGGCGGGTTCTATTAAACGGGCGCGTTGGGCTTGCGCAAACATGTGTAAAGCACTCACCTTCCATTCGCTTCAGTCCCTTGGCAAAAATGGACCAAATTACAGTGTGATGGATTCCAAAACCCGTGGGGAAATAAACAAACATTGCACAAATCACACGGGTGCCTTGTTTTGGGACCCCCCCGCCCCCGCAAAACAAAAAAACACTGTCTTCCTTCTTGGTTTCACCCAGCAAGGGGCACGCTCACAAAACACAAAAAGCACACACACACACGCACACACACACACACACATACACACACACCGAACGGGCACAGCGCCTCCAAGCGCTGCAGGGCGTCCGAGTCATTCTTCAGCACCGCCGCCACCGCCTCCGACGGAAACTCCGCCGCCTCCCAACCCACAGCGAAGCTGTCGTCCAGGTTCCTAAGCTTCGCCAACGGGGTTGGGCGACACCGCGAAGGCCAAGGTTTAACCAACAACTGGAACACCCCCCAAGAGAACAATCGAATGGCGGTCAACTCCACAACATCTGCTTACCTGCACATGACAAGTGTTTGGGGTCTGCGAGGCTAGCGGCTACACAAATGAAGAGACCCAAACAAAAGCACATGCCTCTCTCCGGCGGCGCTTTCTAGGGAGTTGGGTCTGTGGCGGTGACCGATCGCCCTTCATCTGGAAAGAGGTGATCTTGTGGGACTATTTTGGTAGCGAAAACTGGTTGAAATCGAGGCCAAGTCGTACATCCGGGGGCCCTACTTGCTTGTGGCCACATAGGACAAACCATGACGCACCTTCTCTTTCTAACACTCATGGAAGTGGACAGAACAAGCTCGCTTTGGCAACATGAAGGTGAAGCCATGTTTGTCCTTGTCATTGACCTTGACGTCTAGTAGACTTCAACTTCAGGCTTTGGTTTTGATCTTTAGACTTGATTTGTTTAAGTAAGCCGCAAAAGAGTTCACAGGAATCTGGACAACATGTTCAATAAAAAATCGCTAAACAAAACTGCAGGTTGCTCAATACTGTGTAGTTGAATCAGACGCCCTTTGCATGACAACAGCTGATGCAACTGTTGAGGGCACCCTCCCTCCAGCAATAATGCAAGCTCTATCCCAGTATTTGAGTGAACTGGCCCAACCAAAGTCAACCGTCCTTCAAACCACCATGACCAGGTCTAAGACCCAACAAGTAACTCACACACCGTTTCCGGAGCAGCAGCGAGTTGGACCTTAGCATTACTCGGTGGAGCTCCATGAATTCCCCGCAAGGAGTTTGATTCTTCGCAGAGGTGCCAAGTTCCATGCCACCAGCCCCGGGGAACGAAGAGGATCTCCCCCGGGAGCACCACGCAGACCTGGGACCTGACGCAGCTCGGAGCCGCGTTCCAACTTGGGCCATAGCCCTTGGCTCATTCTCGAGAGAGGGGACTGGCCACAAAAAATTGCCATATGTTTGACAACACACAGTTTTGTCCATGAACACGTGACCGCGGCTCACTGAGTGAACTGGCCATTTTTACCACACAAGTTCTATCCATGAAGTCAGAGAGTGAGCTGGTCATAGCCTCACGCCATACCACGCCAATGGAAGGACAAAGGGAAAGTCAAAACCCTCCGGTCGTCAGCCTCCAGGGTAAGTGAGATGACAAGGGGTAGTCGGCAAATCGGCGTGGTAACACGCTAATACATGAGTCTTAGGCCATCTAAGAAAGCGGGGCCTTTTGGTCAACGCGGGCTATACCTCGGCAAATTCAAAGTTGACAATCACATGGCTGTAACCCACTTAACTTGGTTGCAAACCAAAGGGACTGTCGAGTGAAGTGTGTACCAGAAGTAAACTTCAGAGCTTCGCCGCAGTCTTCCGTTTCGTCTTGGAAGAGACCCTTACGGCTTCCTCTTGTTCTTTCCCATTTCGATGCCTTCCTACCTCGGCCGGCGAACCACAACTTACCTCTATTTGCTTAAGTCCACAGTGATTGGTTTCCTTTAGGGAAGCAAACACATTCCGAAGGGCACGTGGCAGGTGGAAGCTTGTGTCGCGCCTCTCCCGCGCATCTCCCTCGCCCCCGGCGCCCGCCTCCCCGGCCGTTCCGAGAAGTACTGCCACGGCGCTTTCTCCGTGGGCCGCGGGGAGTCCGGTGGGACCAAAATCCTTGGGATGCGGCCCCCCAGGCAATAGTGACCAGTGAGCCGATCTCACCCCGCCCCCGAACAAAGCTCGCAAATCAAGGCAAACAGGTAAGCTTGGTTTGGCAAGTTTGTCTGGATCGAAGGCAGGAACAAAACATAAACGGTCAACAAGTCACACTAGAGTGAAAGTAGATGGACGTATGCCCTCTTTGCGTAAGTGAAGCGGGTGACCCTGCCGTGGATGGACGCAATCCATTTCGCACCAAAGAAACCGGAAAAATGGTTCCCTTGCAAATGCCAACCAACGTTATGGTTGCAACACATGGCTTCTAAGGTGGTGCAAACGGCTTTTGCAACCATCCACGGTATGTGACCCGAAGAGAACTCGCGAAAATGACTCGATTCAGCCATGTCTCCAAGCCTTACGCCCCTCGATCTGGGCGAGCCAGCTCTCATTGTGCCGATGCAGGCCCACCCCCGTGTCCTTCTCGTGGGCGTTTGACGACAGCATCGGCTTCCCGTAAAAACCGCACCAAGCAAAATAGGCATGTGACAAGCATGTTCAAAACGGGGACGCTCAAAAAAAATGGGCGGGGTTCCCTTCTGGCTTTCCGGCAAAAAGCCAACCTGAAAAGGGCATTAAGTAACAGTAGGAACTAGCGCTATGCCCCCATGATCATGCAAAGACACATGTTCATAGAATACACAGCCCCATTCTAGCTATTTGGCCCCCACAGTCAGACACACCCGCCGCCTGGCGTTAAGCTCAACCCTGCTGCTTCAAGCTACCAGGGGCTTCGCCTTAGTTGATTGGAAACAGATGCTCCAAGGAAGCTTCGAAAGAAGCCTTTTCAGAAGCGCTTCTGACCCAAGGGTTCTGAGAAGCCTTCTGGGGGGAAGGCACGCGCCTCAATATCTTGAGCTGGGGCTGCAATAAACTTGCCAATGCGCAGAAACACAAAAATACAAACAGAAACACACACAAACCAAAAAAAAAAAACACAAGCAAACAAACAAACACAGACACAGACACACAAACGGACAAACAAACACGCACAACAGCAAACAGAGAAACAACCGAACAAACAAACAAACAAACAAACAAACAAACAAACAAACAAACAAACACATGAACACACACACACAAACGGACAAAGAAACACAAATAACAAAGAACGAAACAACACAAACAAACAAACAAACAAACAAACAAACAAACAAACAACCACGCAAACAAACAAACAAACAAACAAACAAACAAACAAACAAACAAAACAAACCAACAAACAAACAAACAAACAAACAAACAATGAAACCAACAAAACCAACATCCAAACAACAACATCCAAACAACCAACCAACCAAACAAACCAAGCAAGCAACCATCAAACAAACAAGCCACCAAACAACCAACCAAGCAAACAAACCAACCAACCAACCAACCAACCAACCAACCAACAGACAAACAGACAGCCAGACAAGCAACTAATCAACCAAACAAACAACCACCCTGTGAATTGTGCCGTTTCCGCGTCTTGCTGGTTTGTACTTGCAAGCGTTAAAGCTGAAACCCTAAGCCAAACCCATGCCAAGAGCCTTGGGGGCACTCCTCAGCCCAGCCGGACATTCGTGCGTCGGATCTGGTCCTGCCGGCCCGCGCTGAACAGGGGCTTGCCGTGGATGTCTTGCAGCACTTTGGGCACCAAGAAGCCTTGGCCTGGACGAGACGAGTCGGCGGCCGGACTGGACCAACACACCAGTGAGCCTAAGGTTGACACGACAAGATCAAACGAGCTTAAAACTTCATCAAGGCTACACCTCCTAAGGTCAAAACTCTTAAGATTCAAACTCCTAAGGTTAAAGCACCCTGAAAGACCAAACTCAAAGGCTAAAACCACGCAGTGAAACTCCTGAGGTGACGCTCAGCTTCTAATTGGCTGGGACTCTAAGTGTGGCCCCTGCCTACGGGTGCTTGACCCAAGAAGTCGTTCTCAAAGATCACCGCGTCTGTGCCCTGCAACGCGTCCTGCAAATGGCCGTTGGTTCCCAGTCTGTTGGATGGGTAAGTCCAAGGCGTTGTTCCAACAAAATGGTCCTAAGTCTAACATTCCACTCGGGAAGGGAATCATTTTTGCCGAGGGGTTTCAGCAGTTCTGAGACAAAAAACGGGCCAGCACCGTAAAGCAAGGAAATCATCGTGCGAAGGGGAGATGCCTTGTCTCGCGACCTGTTTCCGTGACCTCCAAAAAGGAAAACCAAAGGCTTCCCAGGGATTGAACCAAATGCTCAATCCCAGGGTCATGACCAATGCCTGGACCAAACCGAAACAACGCCTTGACCAGATGGATACCGAGTGAAGCGTCCCAACCCGTTGAACAGGTGAGACAAAACTTTGGCATTTGCGAAGCCCTCCCGCTAGAAGTGAAGAAAACTGAAATGGCAACACACGCCAGAAACGGCGAACTGGGCGTTAACATGCGTTGACACTAAGCATTTATCACAATACAGGGCGCCAGACAGGGGGACGTTGGCTCACCCGGATTGGCGCCATCATGGGCCGCTGATTTGGCAACTCGTTTGGCAATGAGGCACCTCAAAATGCGAGTTGGCATAATTAGATCAGCCAAGGGATGATCCGTTCGTGAAATTCAGATTCACGCCGGAGACCCACATTGGTTATTGGTTCAAAGGATTTGGGCATGTTTGGGCTCTTCATTGACCCCAATCTGGCAACTCATTTGAATGGTTTGTCCACCCATTTCCCCGATTTTGCATTTGGACCCCGCGCCTTGCTGGGCAGCCAAGCCCTTTGGGGTGGTATCGGCACTGTGTCGCGAGAACTGCCTGAAAACATGAGAGCCGAGACCTGTCCTGGAAATACTCCGCCAATGTCACCTCCCGCTCCTGGCCACAAACTGAGGCTGCAAGCAAATCGGGTCTGGCTCCGATTTGTTGGAAAATCTTGCAAGCCAAACCTCCCGACTTCTCCAGTAGTCGTCTTCTGAGGGCCTTCCATTTTCTTGGAAGAGAAAGAGGTGTAAAATACGAACACCAAAAAGCAAGATCAAGGTTGGACATGCCCATCCTTGCAAGAGGGACTGACTTACTAAAGACCAGCAAAGACCAGCGAGTGACTGTTCTTGGACAAGGTTGGCGCTCTGCTTTTGCCCACTTGTAGCTGGGGCTACCAAAATGTGCTATTCGGGCATTCCAAGCACCAAGTTTGCAAGTTGTTCGCAATCCGAACCTCTGCAACCCATTTACAAGTCCCCCAACAGTTGACTCTGGTGACACATATTTCAAGTGGCTAACCACTTGGCCGAACTTGATTTCGGCACCTTTGGGATCTGATCTTGAGCCTGGCAACTACCCTGAACTAGTCGGACGGCTGAAATTTTCACACTCCGGCGAATAGCTGGGCGGGCTGCTTTTTGCTCGAATACCTCCCTTTCCAAAAAGCATGCGTAAAAATGGGACAGGGGGGGTCGTTTAGCAGCCAAGACAGTAGGCGTTTGCCGCTCATGAAGCCCTCCTCCGGCCTCGTGATATGGACCCTAAAAAAGTGGTGTGCCTGTTTTGAAGGTCAAGGGATACCCCAAAAATCGTAAAACAAACACACAAACAAACACAAAAACAATCACAAAAACAATCACAAAAAAAGAGCAAAAACAAAAACAAACACAACACTATCACAAACAAACGAAACAGCCCAAACCACCCCTCAAGCAACATTAGAAACGGGGAACCCTCCCCCAAATATAGACAAACAAACCAACCAACCAACCAACCAACAAACAAAGAAAGAAAGAAAGAAAGAAAGAAACAAACAAACAAACAAACCAACAAAAACACAACGGCTGAAAACTCTTTGACGCCAGTTTGCCATGGGCCCTGCGTAGCCGTGCTCGTGGAGCGTGGAACTCCGGCGCAGCCGAAAGATCGCCTTGCTCGCCTGAGTCACTGAGGTGGCCCCCTTCCTTCTGAACTTTAGGTGTTGACCCTTTCTGGGGAAGACCAGCTTTAGTCGCCACAAAGAAGGGACAGCACCTTTGACAATTTGAGAAGCTCGAGCCACAAGCAACAGGATTGAGGAAAGTCTGGGTGTATTTCATACTAAGGGCTGATTCCTTTTCCATTCTTTCCAACCATCGTTCTTTGCAAACACCAGCTATTTTCCCAGGTTGTTTGGAGGTTTTCTGGAAAAGGATCCCTGAAAAGAATGGGGAAGGTACCCCTAGATGAATGGTGGCCTTCGCGTTTTCCAAAGAATCTGGACTACAAAGGTGATCGTCCCCTAATGCCATTAACCCACTTGCCAAGTGCTCAGTTGCCCCCCAGTTTGGGATCAACATTTTGAGGTCATGACTATAAAAATGGACCAAAAAGGGAACACTAGTTGCTTTGGACAACTGAGTTGGTGGTTTTCCATTTACCCTCCACAAGAACCAGGGTTCAAATCCGAATCCAACCCACCAGTTAGAACCAGTGTTGTTCTTTGTTACTAGCCCGTTTTGGGCGCCTTGTGTTGCAAACATCGAGGCTAGCTAAAATGAAAACACCTCAACGGGTTCAAAGCCACTTCCGTAGATGGGCCAACAAAGGTCCGAGTTTTGTTTGCTGCACAAATAGTCTTCCCAAAAATCGGAAAATTGAGTAAACCATGGTTTACTGGGCTGTGGGGTTTGGGGGGGGGGCTTGAACCATGGCTGTGCCCACCGGATCAAGGAGCCAACCACCTGCTAAGCAAGTGGGAGGACACTGCGGGCACTGTGCAGATCTTGCAGGTTGTGTTGAAACTGGGTTTTACTGCTTCTTGTTCACCTCAGTTGTCCACTTGATCCAGAAATTTTAAGCTTGACCTTTGAATGTTTTGGCGCTGGTTCAAAACCAATGCGCCTCCATCTGCTGCCGGGTGATGGACCAATCCGCAGTGAGGCCTTGCCTAGGACACAAGCAGATGGTAGGGAAATACGTGGTCGTTGGACACATGTCACACTTCCGCAGCACCTTCTGGTTGCCTTTTGAGCAAATTACGTGCAAGTCAGCACGCCGTTCAGCCTGGTGCCAAGAACTAAAGGACAACACAGTGTAAGGGGTGACTCAAAGCTTTTTCGCTCCTAGATGGTGAATATCCCTTGGCGTCCCTAAATGGGTATGTCATGTACACCTCCTTCCTCAAGCCAGGGGGCCACAGGGCAAACAGAGGGGAGAATACCCATGTTGAAACCTATACCTAAAAATTGCGCTTTGAACATGGTCTCACTTCCGAACGAGTGGACTGGCCACAAAAAGGCTGACAGTTTCCTCTTTACCAGTGAAATGGTCTTCTGAAAAAGTTCAAAAGTCCATGAACTCAGGAAGTAAACGGTCTTCTCGAACCTGCCGAGGGGAACAAACCTCCAACCCCCGGCCTCTCGCGGAGCTAGAAGGCAAACGATGCCTTTTCCATTGGGCGACTGGTCCAGCCGCCAATTCAACTCGTGGCTCGGCCCCAAAAAACGTGATGCCTTCCCAATCCTACCCTCCCGGGCAACAAGAAGCACAAGCCACGGAGACAACATTGGAAAACATCGAGAAACCTCGACCCCGAAGCAAAAAGAGAGCAAGCCACCTGCAACAACGGGACAAAGCGAAACACAGGAAGCTTGCGCAAAGAAACAACAAATACAAACAACATCAAGAATCAAGAGAAGTCACAATAGCAACGAATACGTCCATGTTCTTAAGTCCCCTGACACAAGCAAAACAGACACAAACATCTAGTAGTGATACATTCCCTTTAGAACCAACAAGGGCAAATTAAAAAAAAAAAATACATTAAACCAAAACAAAAAAAAACACATGCCTTGGGCAAAAACAACAAACTCGCGTGCCATGTGTACCACGCTGGGCGGCAGGCACAAAGGTTCAGAGCGGTCCCAGTCTTCCGCCAGCGCCGCGCCGTCCACCCGCGGCACCGACTGGGCCGACTCCGCCAGGTGCCGCTGGGCGCTGCTGGGGCCGGGCCACCCATCCTCCGGTCCAAAGGAAACTTGTCCGTTCGACCTGTGGACAAAATCCATTCGCACCACTTGGAAATCATGGTTGAACCCGGCTGTTCGTTGGTATTTGCAGGGGAATCGTATCATTCCAGGCATTCGGAGGTGCGAAATGGGTTTCGTCCATCCGCAGTACGTGTTGGCCTGCCACTCCCAACACAAATCTATTAAAATGAAAATACCAAAAGCACAAAGAAAACAAATCAACACAGACACACAGACACACAAACACACAGACACACACACACACACATCAGCTTACCCTCGGTTGGTTCATTGGATTGGTGGTTTGTAGGCCGTCGTCCAGGTCTCAACAAGAACCAACACGTCAAACCCAACTAAAGGAAACATCTAAGGCGCACATTTTTGTTTGAGGGTACCCGTGTTTTTGCGGTTGCAGGGAAATCAGCAGGAACACCATCGCCCACCCAATCATGCGGGCAAAATCCGCGTTCATCGGTCGGAACGAATTGGAATGAATGAAGCCCGATTTGAACGTTGGTAGATAAAGCACCTACGCAACTGGAGCAAAGCGCATTTCGAACATCCACAGCGAGGGGAGCCATGCATGCCCTCGATATATGACTCTGAATCAGTAGATTGAGCTGGGAGAAAAGGTATGGTGTTTGCAAGCTTGAGCAATTGCCCGATCTTAACCCCCCGCGAACGTGCCCCTTGTTTCTGGTAGGGGGAATTCAAGAAAGAACAAAACGGCAAAGAGCTTCAAGGGCAAGTCTGGCCATGAGTAGCCTAGCATAAAATACTTGCACGCCACCGGGTCCTTTGCAGCTTCTTGGCAACCCGTTCATTTCCCTGGTTTCAGGCGTCCCGTGCTCCTAAGCGGACCTGTCCTTGACTCTTGCCTTCAAGAAGCTGCGAGGGCTCTCTTTGCAAGGTTAGAAGTAGCCTGATCTCAGGTAGCCAAGGAAAATTAGTAGTACGTAGGGCCATTTCACACTCACCAGGCGGTCATTGAAGCAGGCTCCCTCCATTTTGCCTTGACACAGCAACGGCTCAACTTGGACAAGGTTCCACACTTAACATACACAGTTCAAACATATGTCCGTGCCCCAGGTCAATCTGACCCCGGCTTTCTGAGACATCTGTCAAAGCTTTTCGGGCCTAAACTACTTGATGATGATGTAAGGGGCCAAGCAAGTGCACAGATTACATGCTCCGCGATCAACCTTGCGGACTCCAGGGGTACTCATGTCTCCCTTAGGTCGTCTAAACATCAATCGCGCACTGAGCGGCCCCAGGGAAAAACTCGCATGGAACACGTCCATCGAAGAGAATTCCCAACACCTTCCCATGGAGATTTTTCTAGAGCCCCCTTCAATGCCTGGCGTCTCTCAGCCGCGGGCCTTGCGACGGACCGCCGCCGCCCCAGCCGCCGCCGCCGCGGCCGCCGCGGCTCTTGCGGCCGCGGCAATGGGACGCGCCCGCCGCTTTTGCCGAGGCGGTGGTTGCCGGGGAGCTGCCGTCGCCAGCCTAACTTGCAATCTTGGCTGGAATTCGGACCCCTGCATTTTTTGTTTGCCTTGTTAGTGGAAAGCAAAGGGGACCCCAAAAAAGCCAAAAAATGAAAAAATGAAAAGGGGAGCTAATCCTGGGGAAGCCAATGAAAGGAGCAAGGACTGCATACTAGATTGGCCAAGCCAAATAACGTATCTGTTGCTTGTCTTTGTGCTTGGGAGGGGAAAGAGGGAAAAGGCCCAAAGCGATGAGCTTGGGAGGAAAGACTGTAGTGGCAAAACCTCAGGCACAGGAAACCGAAGCAACTTGTGGACTGATTGACTCCTATTATGATTCTTATCGGCCTGGACCTCCTTTTCGTCGGTGTCACTTTCGTTAACTGCTGGAAGGTTGGTTTCATCACAAGGCACTTTGAAAAAAAGGGACATCAGGAGTTCAAAGGCAAAACTCACTTTCAATCCTTGGACATGCGTGGTTCCGAGTAGTTTCCCATTCAATGACGACAGGGGCGTCAAACCGGAAAAAAAGAAGAAGATAAAAGAAAACCGCAAACCGCCGGCCTGACACCCCCTTCCACTTTGAAACCAACCAAACCGCCGGCCTGACACCTCGTTCAGTCGGAGCGAGCGTCCTGGTTGCATGGCATGGGCTGGGCGGCGCGCCCAGGCCGGCCAGCATAACGGCGGTGGATTTGGAGTCGAGATGCGTGCGGACCGTGGTCGTTTCTGGGGGGGAGGGGGGACCCTGAAAACCCCCTTGTTGGGTGGCTTTGACGGTAAACAAGAGATTTGGAGCCCAAATCCGCCATTTTGGTTTGCTTTGAAGGGAAACCAAGAGGAAACCCAACCAAGGTTGAGGTGTTTTTAAAACCTATTTGGAGACAAACCTTACTGCAGGTAAACCAAGCATCACACAACCACAAAAGGATGGGTAAAATACGGACAGTTCGAGTGTTTCAACCTATTCCCTCACTTACACTACTTAGGCCACACGCGCAAACGCAAGCAAACGCAAGCAAGCGCAAGCCAAGATGGCTGCGGGACAACCACTTCAGCTCACCGCCCAGCAAGTTGCATTGCTGTCCCAGCCAAGAGGTCCACCAAGTGCTCCTGACATACCTGGATCCTCCAAGGTGTGCTTTTTTTTGTGCTCTTTCGTGAGGAGAAAAAAAGCGTGCTTTTTGGCTGAAAAGGCGCTTTTGCTAGCTGCGGGCTTTTCCCAGTGATGCGTGTTTTCTTGATTGGGCCCAGGTATACCTACCCACTTAGGGAGACGCATTGACAAAGGATACTAAATGCGTGCCAAGTGGCATGGTCAACGTGCCTGGCCTCAACGTATCCATGGCTATTTAATTCCCCTTGCTGCCCCTGCTTATGGACACATTTGGAGGGCAGGGGGGACGTGCGCCCGGCCTGCAGAAACGCGGCCACCAACTGGAAGAACAACTCTTGGCGACCGGTGTCTGTCCTGCGAAAGCTGACTTTGCTGCAAATTCGATCCAGGCGAGTGCAGTTTGAAACGCTGTAAGATGGGGCTTTGACGCGATGCAGCCACTCAACCCTGTTCCCCTTGAAGTAAACATGGCAACCCAGGACTGGGTCATTCACCATTGTTGCGAATTCAACAAGGTCGGCTGCCCCAAAAAGAACGCCGAGAGAGGCGCCTTTCCGAACTCCGAGTCCTGCCGACGAACCATCGGGAAAAGAAGCCGTTGTAATTCTGACCTCGGGTCGGGGGTCCGTACTCTGACTCCCGGGGGTGGCTTGGCCAATGTCTGAAGCTTGATGTTTTCTCCACGGGTCTTCCGAACCAAAAAAAAACACGGGAACTCGGGGGGGGGGGGGGGTGAGTATGCCCCCAAACATCCAGCTGAAGCTGAACAAAGACACATATCCGCCCCAACCAGTGCAATTCCCGGCTTGACAAGCGGGAATCTTGAGCAAAGGATCTTCATACTTGCCCCTGTTGGTTGGTGTTTGAAGGGATGTCAAAAGGAAGACATACTGAGGTTCCTGGCTCCCTGTGTGAGCTGCTTTTACCTACGAGTAGTTATCTCTCTATCAATTGGAGTATGGCCACTGCAGGAGTTTAAGTCGCAAACCCTTCGATTTGAGAGCAATTGCTGAATCATTGGATTCGTAAAGTTAGTGAACCAAAAAGAGTCTGAAATTGCCACTGGCCAATATTTGCTTACATCCAAGCGGACAATTCAGGCACCCCCTCTGGCAAACAAGAAGAACACAACACAAAGAAATAATTAGTCGTTGATGATCTCAGATGCCCAGCGGTCATGGGAAAAAAAGGGCATCCTTTTCGGTTGGTTGAGCTTAAAGGGGAACCCTTCCCAAAAGAAGGAAACAAGGGCGCCACTGGGCAACTCGGAAATCCAACAGAATCACTTAGGGGTCAGAATCACTTAGGGCAACCCTCAGACAGGCACCGGGACGCGACCGGACCCAGTGCCTTACCACAGGAAACTTGGGGGAGAGCTTGCTTGGATGTTCAACCAACTTAGTAAGCAGCTTCTAACCATGGCTACCAAAAAGGGTAATTACCAGTGGTCCGCTTTTTAGAACCATGGCGATTGACTCCCAGAAAGTTTAAAAAGAACGCGAACTCACTTGCGCCCTAACCTGGCAATTGGAAAGGTGAACCTCTCGCTTCCGAACGAGTGGATTGCCCAAGTCCCGGACTGTTTCTCTAAGCCACTAAGCCTACCAACCCCAGACCGTCAAGTCCAAGAACTCGATCGGGAGCGAAACCTGTTGACTCGGCTGGAATTAGGACCCCAGCAAACAAAAACAACACATATTTTTTGGCTGTGGGAAAAACAAAGGGGACCCCAAAATAGCAAAACAAAAACAAACAGGCGAGCTCATTCTAGGGAAGTTGAACGCGACTGGCCATGCACCAAAGCTTTCGGGGTCCGAAAGCCGGCAAAGGCTCCGGCGGTGCTCCCCAGCCGCCTGGGGGAAGCAGAAAGCTCCCTCACACCCCCTCTCCCCCCCTCCAAGGTCTCTGGAAAAAAATCTAGGGGACCTTCCATATCCATTCTTTTCAGGGATCCGAATCTTTCCAGAAACCTCCAGAAACCCAGGGAAAACGGCAGGTGTTGAAAAAGAACGATGATTGAAAATAATGGGGAATCAACCCCTGGACAAATGAGAAAATGAGATGTCTCGAAATTTGGTGGCACCAAAAACTGCGCGTCTTCCTTGTGATTTCCCTGAAGACCATGTGGGACATCAAAAAGCCGGTGTTTCCCCTTGTGATTTCCCTTGAAACCCATCTAAGAAAGGGAACTCCTCAAACAACGCAAGCCGCAAAAATGACTGCTCTGAGTATCGCAAACAATTGGGTCGCAGCCAAAAGGTGCCACTGGAGTGCTGATATGCCAACCGTCAGGTAGACAGAGGGACAGCGATGGCAGCTGTGCTTGGAGCATTTGAGCACAAATCTGTACCATATACATGTGTGTGGCTTTTGAACGGACTCCTGCTTTGGGTTGGTACCTTTTGCCTCTGCAAATATGCATGCCTACGGGGCTCATCCACTGCCAGACTGCCACGTTGCACCAAAGGTACCGATGACATCAAGTAAGTGGTTGATATCACCGGGTGCCATATCCCCCCCAGCCGGATTTACCCTACATACAATCATTCTTGTTGAAACTGGAAATTATTACCAGACACTTTGGGGCCCTAAGCGGGTGGTGATCCAAGTGAAGCTGAACCTCCTTCTGGTGAATTTGTTTGCCTTGCAAAATCGAGAGCGTGCTGCAACTAAAACCAGGGCTGGCTTAGGACAACCAAGAAACCAAGAGGAGTCTGCCATCCAATCAGGCCACCAAACTTTATGTGGATATGGCCCCCCGCAAGAAAAGCTTTGTTTGTTTCTAGCTAGCGGGACAAGCGCACATCTTCTTGGGTGCTGTAGATCCCCCCAGCAAAACGTTTAACTTCTTGCTGGTTAAAGGAAAAT